TTTTGTTGTCATGTCTTTGGAAACTGGTTTCCAATGAGCAAGTACATGCAACTGAATAGGACGCAAACGGGCAAAAGGTATTATTTCTATGTATGAGGCCATTAGACCCAATACATGCAGAAACTGGAAGGCAATGTTTTTGCCTTGAATTAATAACCTGATAGCTTCCTCCAATTTTGTAGTCTAGAGTCGGGTACACTTAACCTAACTTTAGATTGAAAACACTGCCTAGGTAAGTGATTACTTGTTTTGTGGACTAGAGAAGATTTCCCTACATTTATAATGAAACCTAACTGGAGGAGCAAACTTCATGTCGTCTTGATCTGAAAATAGCACTATCTTTTGAGATTTCACTACTAGACAATCGTCTAGATACGAGGCTAGGTTGACATTTAACATTCGTAAGTATGCTGCAACTACTGATATTACTTTTGTAAATGCTCGTGGAGCCTGGCTTGGACCGAAACATAACGCTGTGTATTGGTAATATTGATTGTTTATGCAAAAACGAAGGTATTTTTGTAGTTCTTGTGAATTGGAATGTGCATATAAGTGTCCTTTAGATCTAAAGTGAAACTGAATTGGTCTTTTTTGACTAAATTTAGAACTTTTAGAAGTGTGTCCATTTTGAAATGCTGTTTCACCATGTATCTGTTTAGTGGCTTTAAATTGATTACTGGCCTCATTTTCCCATTCTTTTTTGGGACAAGGAAAAACGTGCTGTAGAAACCTTCCATTACTTCCTGCAATGGAACTTTTTCTATATTCCCTTTTCCACCTCCGAGTAAATAAGTTTCATCTGATCTTGAGGTGCCTTTGTAATTTTTATACCTGTAAAATTTGGAATTTGAGTAAATTCCAGTTTGAGGCCATTTCTGATGGATGACAACACCCATTTGTCGTCTGTTATCATTTCCCACTGATTTATGAAATATTTAAGTCTGCCGCCAACAGGTAAATGGGGAAACATCATCATAACTTTCTCGTCATGCTTTATCTGAAAATGATTTTGTATTACGAAAGGAACTCACCTTTGATTTCTGCACTGGCTTGTTATAGCCCAAACGTGGAATTTTTAAACCCCCACTTGAATATGAAGATTAGTTACGAGGTCCACTGGATGACTTCTCTTCATATTTTGGTTTCTTAGAACTCCTTTCATTGTTGGGAGTGAACTTCCTCTTATACAAAACAGAAGGTGATTTAGTCTGTCCAAAAAAACTATCTGGTAATACCTCAGTAATTTGCTTGTTTCGCTCCTGTTTGGCTTTCAACTTCTGATCAAAAGTACACCCAAACACCCCTTCCGCTGTGAGAGGTAGAGTGCTAATTGTCGAAGAATAATCTTTCAAATCATTCAAGCCTGTATCATGAAAAGCAGCATTTTTTTCCCAAAAGATGATTAAAGGCGCCAGTTCTAGCCACCTGATCAAGAGTTTTAGTTGAAATGACAAAAACATCTCTTGTCATTTGAACAGCCAAATCCAAGTTACAATCTTTCTGTTGTAAACATTCTAACAGGGAACACAAAATCTGCTGTGAATAACAACACATAATCATACCCATAAGTGAAGCCATCTGTCCATGAAATGCTAATTATTCCATTGACCGCATAGATTTACTTAACAATGAAGGAGCATGGCCAAAAGCTGCCTTGTGTCAATATTTTTTTTATCAAAAATGATTCACCCTTATCCTTGAAAAAAACTTTCACAACTTTCATGTACTGGAAAATCATACCTGTAACTGTCTTTAAAACTTATTAATTTATCAGGATTTTCACTTCTGTAAGATTGAGACAGAATGTTCATTTGAGAGTCATCTAAAACAAGAATTTGTAACAGTTACCAACGTCCCCTGCCTCGGGGAAGTTTTATATGAAGCATAAAATCAATGCTAGATCTGCAAATGCAACAATAAATCTATTAAAGAAATAAAATGAAACACTGAATTTAAAAATCTATCACACCACACTGGTGTTACGCATGACATATCATCTTATCATTGTGACTATTTGTGCCAAGTATTTTCAAAATCCCTTGATCTATGAAGAAGTTATGGACGGGACACAAAATATACCATATAACAGACTCTGTTATTTTGACCTCTAAGTGTCACTTTGATCTTTGAGGTAGGGGTGCAGGTGTTGTACTTGACATATCGTCTTATTATTGTGACTATTTGTGCCAAGTTATTTCAAAATCCCTTGAACTATGAAGAAGTTCTATATTGGACACAATATATACCCTTTAAAAGACTATGTTAACTTTTGACCTCAAAATGTGACCTTGACCTTGGAGGTGGACACATCGTCTTATTATAGTGACTATTTGTGCCAAGTATTTTCAAAATCCTTTGATTTAAGAAAAAGTTATGGACCGGACACAAATATACCCTATAACAGACTATGTTAATCTTTGAACTCCAAGTGTGACCTTGATCTTGGAGGTTGGTGACAGATTGTTGCGCATGACACATCATCTCATTATTGTGAACGATTGTTGCAAGCATTTACAAAATCCCTTCAAAGATAAGAAAGTTATAGACCGGACACGAGATATACCCTCAAATAGACAATGTTGACCTTGATTGAGCAAGTGCAACCTTGACCATGGAGGTAGGGGTCTGGTTGTTGCTCATGACACATCGTCTTATTATAACAAACATTTGTGCCAAGTTATTTCAGATTCCTTCAATAAATGACAAAGTTATGGACCGGACACGAAATATACCCTGTAACAGACTTTGTTAATCTTTGACCTCCAAGTGTGACCTTGACCTTAGAGGTAGGTGACCGGTTGTTTCGCATGACACATCTTCTCATTATTGTGAACAATTGTGGCAAGTATTTACAAAATCCCTTCAAAGATAAAAAAGTTATCAACCGGACACGAGATATACCCTCAAATGGACAATGTTGACCTTGAATGAGCAAGTGCGACCTTGACCCTGGAGGTAGGGGTCTGGTTGTTGCGCATGACACATCATCTTATTATAACAAACATTTGTGCCAAGTTATTTCAGATTCCTTCAATAAACGACAAAGTGTGACGGACGGACAGACAGACGGACGGAAAGACAGACGGAGCCTATTTCAATATCCCCCTTTTTTCTTCGAAAAGGCAGGGGACAATAATTCCTACATCAGGTTTCAACTTTTTAGTTTGGGCATCTTCACCAAACATATTCAAAAGTGATTTATTTCTTTCCTCTTCAGTCAAAGTCACGTACTTACTCAAACGGCTGTTACGATTGCTAGACTCTGGATTAACTTGCTCTCCCGAGAAAGCCACTGAATGTCTGTCTGATTCATCATCAAACAAACCACTGTCACGTTTCTCTGACTCAGAAACCATCACTGATAAAACATCAGAATGCATCTGTGAATGTACACCCCTATCAGACGCAATCTGTGAATGTACACCCCTATCAGGTGCAATACCATAATCTCTATCTAAGCTGTTCATAATCCAGTGATAGAAATGGTCTGCGAGCAGTACTAATTGCCTCGTCTGTGACCTGTGTACGTAAAGACTGGGAACTTTTCTGAGCAACATAAGTGTCCTCGTTCCCTTCCCAAGACATATTATTAGACAACAAATTTGTCAACATGTCTTACTGAGTCAAAAGAAGAAAAACGCTCCTCAAACTTGTCATTCAATTTCTTCTCTAAGAAAACCAGTGAGTTTTCATTGTCTTTAGACTAAGCAGATGACTTACCCTTCAACGATGTTTTCTTTTTCGTACTATTTTTAGATGAAATTTCCGAATCAGTTTCGGATAATTTCTCTTTTTCCTGAACTAACACGGCTTCTGCCATAGTAATACTTATAAAATAAAACAAATAATTCCTCAAAACAGTTCACAAAAATGAAAAGATAAGAGAACACAAAACACGTGTCCGACTGCAATGGTGCAGAAAATTTAACTGAAGTTAATAGCGTCTTGTGATACTGATTTCCTGTTTTGATCATGATCATCTAGACGCTCATTAAGTTTTGCGTGTTACTGTAATGGTTGAGGAGAACTAAATCCTAATGTATTTTCTGTATGGTAAGTTAACAACGGAACGAAATGAAATTAATATGAGCAAACTTGATAAAAGACTTCATAAGAATGCTACAGACAAAATTTGGTGATCATCCATCAATTAGTTCTGTAGAAGGAGACATTTAAAGGTGTTTCTATATTTAGCTTTAGAGGCCCCTAAAAGGTGCCAATCAAATTAATATGAGCAAACTTGATCCCTTAAAAGGGGCCAATCAAATACATATGAGCAAACTTTAATAAAAACTGCCGAAGAATACAACAGACACAGTTTGGTGATCATCCATCAATGAGTTATGTAGAAGAAGATGTCTAAAGGTTTTTTCTATTTTAAGCCCTAGAGACCCCTGAAAGGGGCTAATCAAAATTAATAAGAGCAAACTTGATAAAAGACTATCTAAGAATGCTACATACAAACTTTGGTGATCATCCATCAATTTTTCCATTTTTCTATTTTTAGCTCTGTTGACCCCTAAAAAGAGCCAATTGAAACGACATGAGCAAATTTAGGTGTGACTGTCACAAGGATGCTACAGACCAAATTTAAAGTAAATCTGCCCAGCAGTTTCAGAGAAGAAGATGCATGACGACGGACTGACGGACACCGGCGCATCCCCCTTTGATACTTACAGCTCACCCTGAGCCTTCTCCTACCTCCGCTTTTATTTTGGTAAAAACAACCCATAGTAAATTCAACTACTATTTTCTATTTCAAACCATCAAGCTACAAAGTAATAAAACTTTGAATCAAATGTTCCTGTGCTAGCCAAACCAAATGAAGATATAGTTTAAGCCAAGGAAAAAACCATTCAGTTTCCTTCAGCATTTTTTTTAAATAAACCACACATTACTTTGTAAAGCTGCTTGTTTTATCATGTTTATTCATTCCTGTAAGAGTATTTTGATGACAGATTTACCTGAAGGTCTAGTTTAGTTTAGTTTAGATATTTTACCTGTGTGATAAAATCCAGCTTTTGCTAACTGTTGAGGGGTCTGTATTATGTGTGGTGGCCAATTCCTGAAAGAAGCCAGCCGTGACTCAAATGTCTGGTATTCAGGGTGACGGTACACAGCATTTGCTGAATCCTGTCTGTGTCTCTCTACAAATTTATGAAAACAAATACTTCTGATGAAAAGAAAAACTTTATGTAATGAAAAATGTAGTCTTTTAAAAGAAATAGCATACAATAATTGTTCAAATGCAAATATAAAATGGTGTCCATATTATAAATGGCAAAATGCCTTACAACAGTACTTTTTTCAATATCCCCTAGAGTCTTTACAATGTTTCTCTATACATGTACTTGGGCTGTATGACCACTTTTTGAGACATTGTGACCCATATTGGAACCCGACCTTGAAATCATCAAAAGAACTTTTCTGACCAATTCCAGGAAAATTTGATTGCAACAGTAGCCCCTGGTGTGTAAACAATATTTTTTTCATATTTGGGCTGTGTGACCTAGTTTTTGACCTCAGATGACCCATATTCAAACTTGACTTTATAATCATCTAAACAACCTTCCTGACCAATTTCAAGGATATTTGATTCAAAACAGTCGCCTCTAGAGTGATAACAAGGTAAAAAAATATTCCATAATAGGGCTGTGTAACCTTTTTTTTAACAATGGTGACCCATATTCAAACTTGGTCTAGGAATCATCAAAACAACCTTTCTGACTTATTTCCAGGATATTTGGATCTAACTAGAACTGCCACTGTCATGGCGTGAATACCCACGCATACCACTTTGTCAGAATCAACAGTAGTCATTTAGAGCTCAAGCACAACCTCCCAGCTAAATCTGACTGACCTCAAAACTGAAACTGCTACAGAATGACTTCAATGCAGTTTTGTCTGGAGGTGTTTTATAATGAATATACCGTATAAGTACTTTTTTTCTGTGGGAACTTTATTCTGCGGTTCATAACGACACCGCAGATTTAAAATTAAGCCTTTCCCTATGTATATGTCGGAATTTGTCAACTACAGGTATTGTATAATTACATTACCATGTATCGTTATTTGACTTAGTAGATGGAAATTAAAAAATATCTTAATGTATCTGTCATGAATAAAAAATTGTTAAGTTTAGATATTAAGCATGAAACATCTTCTAGTAATTGTCTACAAAGTTTGTTCAAATAAAAGCCCTGGGGTCATAATAGGCCCGGGGCCAATTATGACCCTAGGGCTATTATTTGAACAAACTTTGTAGACAATTACTAGAAGATGTTTCATGCTTAATATCTAAACTCTAGCTATTTGGGTTTTTTCAAAGAAGATTTATAAGTTTTTGCTATACAAATATAAGGAAAATCAATAACACCCGGTGCGGGCCAATTTTGACCCCAGGGCTTTTATTTGACAAACTTGGTAGACATTCATTAGAAGATGTTTCATGTTAAATATCTTAGCTCTAGCTCTTTGGGTTCTTTAAAAGAAGATTTTTAAAGTTTTTACTATATGCATATAGGGAAAATCAAAGACCCCCTGGGGCGGGGCCAATTTTGACCCCAGGGCTTTTATTTGAACAAACTTGGTAGACACTCACTAGAAGATGTTTCATGCCTAATATCTAAACTCTAGCTATTTAGGTTTTTTCAAAGAAGATTTTTTTAAGTTTTTGCTATACACATTATAAGGAAAATCAATGACCCCCGGGGCCGGGCCAATTTTGACCCCAGGGCTTTTATTTGAACAAACTTGGTAGACACCCATTAGAACATGTTTCATGCTAAAGATCTTAGCTCAAGCTCTTTGAGTTCTTTAAAAGAAGAATTTTTAAGTTTTTACTATATGCATATAGGGAAAATCAATGACCCCCTGGGGCGGGGCCAATTTTGACCACAGGGCTTTTATTTGAACAAACTTGGTAGACACTCACTAGAAGATGTTTCATGCTTAATATCTAAACTCTAGCTATTTGGGTTTTTTTTAAAGAAGATTTTTTAAGTTTTTACTTTACACATATAGTTAAAACCAATGACACCCCTGGGGCGGGGCCAATTTTGACCCCAGGGCTTTTATTTGAACAAACTTTGTAGACAATTACTAGAAGATGTTTTATGCTTAATATCTAAACTCTAGCTATTTGGGTTTTTTCAAAGAAGATTTTTAAGTTTTTGCTATACAAATATAAGGAAAATCAATAACACCCGGTGCGGGGCCAATTTTGACTCCAGGGCTTTTATTTGAACAAACTTTGTAGACACTCACTAGAAGATGTTTCATGCTTAATATCTAAACTCCAGCTATTTTGGTTTTTTCAAAGAAGATTTTTTAAGTTTTTGCTATATACAAAAAAGGAAAATCAATGACCCCCGGGGCGGGGCCAATTTTGACCCCAGGGCTTTTATTTGAACAAACTTGGTAGACACCAATTAGAACATGTTTCATGCTAAATATCTTAGCTCTAGCTATTTGAATTCTTTAAAAGAGGAATTTTTAAGTTTTTACTATATGCATATAGGGAAAATCAATGACCCCCTGGGGCGGGCCAATTTTGACCCCAGGGCTTTTATTTGAACAAACTTGGTAGACACTCATTAGAAGATCTTTCATGTTAAATATCTTAGCTCCAGCCCTTTGGGTTCTGTAAAAGAAGATTTTTAAAGTTTTTACTATATGCATATAGGGAAAATCAAAGACCCCCTGGGGCGGGGCCAATTTTGACCCAAGGGCTTTTGTTTGAACAAACTTGGTAGACACTCACTAGAAGATGTTTCATGCCTAATATCTAAACTCTAGCTATTTGGGTTTTTTCAAAGAAGATTTTTTTAAGCTTTTGCAATACACATATAAGGAAAATCAATGACCCCGGGGCGGGGCCAATTTTGACCCCAGGGCTTTTATTTGAACAAACTTGGTAGACACTCATTAGAAGATGTTTCTTACCAAATATCTAAGCTCTAGCTCTTAGGTTTTTTTTAAAGAAGATATTTAAAGTTTTTTCTTTCGGTTGCCATGGCAACCAGAGTTCTGCATGGAATTAAATTCTTTGAACAATTTTTAAAGGTGACCACCAAAGGAACATTCCTGTGAAGTTTGGATGAAATTGGCTTGGTGGTTTATGAGAAGATGTCATTTAAAGTAAAAGTTTACGGACGGATGGACGCCGGACGAAAAGCCATCACAAAAGTTCACCCTGTCACTTTGTGACAGGTGAGCTAAAAAATAGCGCAGAAAACCCGCTGAACATCGCATGTTTCTTTTATGATGTCATTTAAGTAATTCTGTAAAATAATGGATGTTATTTCCGTTTATTTTGTTGACATCACTAGAAACGCCAGACGCCTTTATTGTTTACAACGTAAAAATGACGGACACGCTGTAATTAGAAAATCGCGCAATCATAAAACGATCATTTATTTTTGTTGTAATTTGGGAATGGCACCTACAAAAACATTTGATAAAAATCAGCAGACGAACAGAGAAAAGAAAATTTCATAATCATTAGTGTTGAAGTGACATAAGAAATTTAGTGATGGACATTACTTTGAGGAACAGTATTTACCGTCATTGACTGCGTAACGTTGAAGCACAAGTTGTACGTTAATATTATGACGTTGACGTCAATAACTTTTTGGAGTGCGCCGCTGTCGCTGACATGGGTTTATGTAAAATTAAATATTGTTGTAATATAAGAAGCTACTCACATGAATTTTTCTGTGTTTATTTGTTATTAATTCTTCTAAGCACTGTAAGAATTTCAAATTAATATCTCAAATATATTTTACGCAACAAAGAAAGTCCACAAATTTTTGGATAACCCCTCGTATATATAGTACATAACTATAATAGTTTGACAGGTGCAATAAACATATCCTTTTGTATTTGTATAATATCTTGTGTCTACATGCAATTTTGCCATTGTTTATTTTTCACACATCATATTTACACACATACAGTATTATAATTTTTGTCATTGCACGTAGATGATTTTTATTTATTTATGATTGTGTATATACCAATACATGATGATTAAGGTGTGACCATCCTAAAGCCTTACCTCCGCTGTGAAGAGTATTCAAATAGGCTAGAACTACTGTTAACTACATATAAACTGAGGGCCATGGGTTCAAACCACAGACGGGTCAACTTTTTTTTCTTTTAACATTATTTATGTATCTCTCAATCCCTTTTGTGTAGAAAAAAGTGTTTACTTTTTATTACTTAATTTATATACGCATTTATTGGCTAAATAATGCTAAACCTAGTAATAAATATGGTACCTGATATTTTCAAAGTGTAATAAAATCAAAACTAGACGGTAAAAGTATTTAATATTTTATAAAGATCAACCAATATACTTTTTTAAAAATTTAGGGAAACTTTGAAAACAGGCACACATTCGGGTAAATTTTAAGGATTTTCTAAATTAGGCTCCCTCAGTAGGAAAATGGTCAAACACGTGTTAACAAGAGGGCCATGATGGCCCTGAAGTCGCTCACCTGTATATAGGCCCCCAGAGCGGGGCCAGTGTAAACCCCAGCGCTTTTATTTGAACAAACTTGGTAGACACCCATTAGAAGATGTTTCATGCTAAACATCTAAGGTCTAGCTGATTGGGTTTTTTAAAAGAAGATTTTTTCAAGTTTTTTCTTTACACATATAGTTTAAAACAATGACACACCTGGGGCAGGGCAAGTTTTGACCCCAGGGTTTTTATTTGAACAATCATTATAGACACTTACTAGCAAATGTTTCATGCTTAATATCTAAACTCTAGCTATTCGGGTTTTTTCAAAGAAGATTTTTAAGTTTTTGCTATACAGATATAAGGGAAATCAATGTCCCCTGGGGAGGGGCCAATTTTGACCCCAGGGCTTTTATTTGAACAAACTTTGTAGACACTCACTAGAAAATGCTTTGTGCTTAATATCTAAACTCTAGCTATTTGATTTTTTTTCAAAGAAGTTTTTTTAAAGTTTTTGTTATACACATACCGGTATAAGGAAAATGAATGACCCCCGGGGCGGGCCAATTTTGACCCCAGGGCTTTTATTTGAACAAACTTGGTAGACACTCACTAGAAGATGTTTCATGCTTAGTACCTAAACCTTAGCTATTTGGTTTTATTCAAAAAAGATTTTTTAAA